CTTAAAGAAGACTAGTAAACCCACAAGAACACCTCAGAAGTTGGGGGAGAGTTGGGCAGGGCAGACATTGAAATGCTGAAGGACAACTTTGATAAAAGGATGAAGGGGGAAGTGAAGTCCGTTATCAAAAGCTGCCAGGAAGAAACAAACATTCTTATGGACATGATGAACATATGTGGTGTACTCATCAGGACTCTAGGGCTAAACCCCTGGAAAAAAACGAAAGCGAGCACTCAAAACCTTCAAGTCAATAGGGGTAAGTCCGCTAGAACCTACAAGTTCAGCGTTCCTAAAGGCAGCCCCTACGCCTGAACCAATGACTCCCACACCACTCACTTTACCCTTACCCTTGTCACCACTAGGGGGTACACGAGAGGAAGATGAGGGGAGTTCCTTGGAGTCCACCTCGGTATCGACAGCCTCAACACTGGGAAAGTTGTCAATCTCATCACCTACATCCCCTAAATCAGAATCTCTCTCAATAGACCTATCGCCTAGGAGGAAAATAGAGGAGGGAGTTGCTCCAGAGGAGGCAGACATGACTGGCAAAGAGAAAGACAAGTCGAAAGAATTATAAAAAGGAGGAATACTAACTAAACACCCCCTGATAATCCTAGGGTCAGCACTGTACCTCCCGACAGTAAGAATTCGCACAGTGGAGTTCCAATCCACAAAGCGGGAAAGAGGAGATAGGCAACGATCGCGATTCCAAAAGAAAAAGAACCGAAAAACCCAGAAAAACAATGGCCACCTCGAAGTCGAGGGATCCAGAGTGAGGAAAGGCAAGAGAAAGAGAAAAGGGCAAAAGGAGGTGTACCTAGACAGGGAAGAGAGCAACAAACAGCAGCCAAAGAACAAAAATTGGAGGAGAGGAACAAAGTAGGACTTCGAGTCGAACCCAGAAAGCACAGTCTAGATCAGAGAATAAGGGAATCGCGTGGAGGAAAGCCTAGAAATCACAGAGAGAAAGAGCCGGAGACGAAGGTAAACAGCGTAGAAGATGAACGGTGGTTTTGTACGTTTTCTTTCAGCCGTTTTGAGCATTTAAGGCTTGAAAGACGTGGGATGAGGCGTGCGCGGGAACCAAGGGAGCCATGATTGCTTATACCGTCAAAAAGCCCCTCCCACGTGCATCTCACATGCAGGCTAAGGTCAGCGAGGCACAGGTCTGGTCCAAGGTAAAAACAGCTCAGCCCTTGCCCAAGCTCGCTTGGGCCAAAGGCTGGGGGGGGGGGCAACTGATGTTACCTCAAAATAAATCCCAAACGCCAGCTCAGTCTAGGAGGTCAGACTAGACGAACAAAACTCGGAAGAGTAGAGCTAGAGGTCCCTTCGAGATAAGCAAGGGCAATAACAACCAAGGCAACAACTGAAAGATCACGAGAGGTTCCTAAAAGCGTTAGGAAGCAATAATCAAGAATTTAATCTCAACCAACCAAGATCTTCTCCTATAATCAAGGAAAATCCCACAAAATAAGGGCAAAAATATCGGCTAAGATCCCACTGAATAGGGAACATCCCTATAAATACTATGTACCGCCCCCAAGGAAGGGGAGGAACCCTAGAGGCAAAAACTAGCCATTGTATTCTTGCAATCATTATTATTGAAAGACAAGGAGCAAGTGTCTCCATTAAAGAGTGGATTAGCCGAATTTCTGAGCTGGTGAACCACTATATTCCAACTGTGTTAATTCTCTAATTCCCCGACAATTCTCAGTATCATTCACTTGAGTCTAGTAGCTTAGTTCTCAACAATTGCAATATTGTTTTCTTTCATTTACTCGTCATCACAAATTCTCATCACGTTGAAATACACCATCAGGTATAATGAGTTGAAATTATGTCCCTTTTTGATGAGTTTTTTCACTTGCTCTTATCGATTAGTTCAGGATTTTTTTTTGACATGGACAAGCATGTCTTTTGCTCCCTCAAGCTCTTTCTTTTTAAAATTTTTCATGTTAGTTTTGGATTTTGTAATGACGGGAAATTTTGTAAATGACTATTTGTCCAATGATAATCTACATTTCAAATTTATCTTAGATGTTTGTTTGGAAATTTCTAGAACAATTTACATTTAAGGGGAAAAAAAACTGAATTTCACTTGGGATAAGAAAATATCAAAACACTAATGATTTGTAGATTTTTGTGAAAAGTGTGAGCTTTGAACTTTGTGAATTTTTTGTAGTTGTCGAAGTAGATAGTTGAAAATGGGTCTTTGAGTGGGAAGAAGAGGTTTTGCAATTTTCTAGGGACCTATTTTCAAAGAAAATTTTTCCAATTTTTTTAACAGAAATAGTGGACCCAAATTGGTCTCAAATGTGTAATTAAAGAAAGAAAAGAAAAATAAATTGTCATTTAAAATGTTTATATTATACGACTCATGCTTTATTTTTTTTGTGTTATATAGTGCCTTCAAATACGAGTTGTTGCTAGATAAAGATAGATAATGAATAGAATTCTCTTTAGATTGGGGTGGCCTATAACATGTTTGTTGCATGTGATTTTTTTCTTTCTCAGAATAAATTGATTTTTGACATTTTTTAGGATTAAGGGTTTTTCAAGCGATTATAACAAAAGCAGTTGAGCTTAGGACCAAACAATTTGTTTCGGCTTTGGGAGACAACAACATTATGAAATGGGTTTTTTTTTTGGTCTTCACTCGTAGTAGTTTCTTTGCTTTTGAGGTCCAATTCCATTTGACTTTCGTAGACATCTACCTCATGTTTTTATTTATTCTTAAACCGTAACTTTGATAATCTGCATTTGACAACTCTAGGATGAAGCAAGATGGCTATATGAGCTAGCAAATTTAAGTGATCGAGGTTATGAGGATGAAGAGAGACTAATGATGGCAGAATTTATTGGTTAGAATTGTGACGTAATTTGACATCTTATGTTTTTTGAGATTATCTTTTTTTTATTTCTCGAGTTTGTTATACTAAGAGAGAGATTTAGGATTATAAAATATGATTTTCTTATTTCTTTTTCATATATTGACTGGGATGGTTTTGACCTATGTTTTACTTTTTATGAATGTGATTTGGATTAAAAGCAATTGCTTGCGCTAAACAGACATGAACTACGTATTTCATATAACATATAAGTGGGGTTTGATTTTATTATGTTATAAGCGAGTGATGTTAGTGGTATGTCATTCAACACGATTAACTAAATTGGTTGTGTTATGGATGAGGGGTTTTTCATATTAATTTGAAATAATACGAAATAATATGATACAACACAATATGATTGCTGCTTAATGGGGAGTTCTCATTTTTGTAATTAGTAATTTTTTGTGTGTGTTATACATTGCCTTAACGCATACAATTATTTGCTATTATTTGTTTAGTACATAGTGTCTTCAGACACGGGCAATATATATATATATTTATGAGAGATATAGTCATAATCTATATATGAACATAGAAAGATATAGGAGATAAATTTTTTTAATGTTAATCAAACTCTTAAAATTTAGGAGTTTGTAATTTTTTACTTCACTTCTAAAGAGAAGCGATAGTCTGATAAAATTGACAAAAAACATATTTCATAACAAATAAATTTTCTTGGTGATTTAAGTTCAAACAAGTCCATATAAGAGGACCGGTGTCCAAATTTTTCAAAGGAAAAAATAGGAGAAATTAGAAAGGGGTACACTAAGTTAAACTTAATTGTAAAAAAATACACAAAAAAAATGTTTGATAATTAAATCCTTAATTTTGATACTTATTTTTTTTTAAGTACATTATTTGAATTTTACTGATTTTTTGTGTGACATTTTTGTCCTCCATTGATCCATGTTTATTTTATTTGAAAAGTGGTGCATTAAACATCTTCTAGTTTTATGGGAGAACTTTAATATTCCATATTTGTATGTCCTCCCTTGATTCATGCAATTTTTTTTTTTGAAAAGTGATTGTTTTCAACTTATATATATATATATATATATATATATATATATATATATATATATATATATATATATAAATCTCTTTTCTAAAAATTTGAATTATCTTTAATGCAACTTGATTCACTCGTATTTTTTTTTGAAAAGTGATTTTGTTTTCAAATTATATTTAATGCACATTGATTCATGCGTTTGTTTTTTGAAAAGTGGTTTTATTTTTAAATTAATTTAATATTTGAATAATGTAATAGTGTATCAATAACAGTGTAACAATGTAACAATAACAGTGTAAAAAGATATTTACACAAAATATTATATTATTACATTTTGTTAAACATATAGTTTCATATAATTTCATTCAAAATAATCGATATCCGTTTTGAATTTGTTACCACATGTACAAAACTACCGAACATTATTTTTGTTACAATGGATTGTTACACTGTCTTTGTTATAGTGTATTTGTTATACTATTATGGAGTTCGAATATTAACAAATTTTAAAATTCAAACAAGTGATATATTCTAAAATAAACGAAATATTACAATTTTCCTATTAAACTAGTAGTAGTAAATATTTAATGCATAAATATAATTTAAAAATAAAACTACTTTTAAAAAAAAAAAATATGCATGAATTAAAGTGCATTAAAGATAATTCAAAATTTAGATAAAAAATTTAACAAGAAGTATATATATATCTATATATACGTATTTATATATATTAATAAATACACATGAATCAAGGTGCATTAAAGATAAAAGATTTTGAATTAAACGATCCTAAAATGGGCATTTATGTCTTCGTATCTCAATTGTGTACTTTTTTCTAAAATATTTTGTTCTATATATTTTTTGTTAAATAGGTCTAATTAGGTGTACCGACTTTCAAAGAGCCCAAAAAATTATACCTTTGTTGGGTTGCTTTGGGACTGAAATTGGGTCCAGCCCGTTTACAAAAACCGCACTCGTGGCCCTATAACGAAACTGAGCCCATCTGACCATTTCTGCCCACAATTTCGTGGGCCGAACCAGGAGACCATAACGAGCGCCTATAAAAAAGTAACTCAGAGAGATGCCCAGGTTTCAACACCGGTTGCAGTGAGGGAGAGAGAGAGAGGGTGAAGGGCGAAGAATGGACGTGACGATGGCGGAACCGGGTGAAATACTTCCTGAGCGCAAGATAGACAGATCGGTATACGATAAGCTGCAACATAGCCGAACTTCAGTGGAGGACATCGTCGCCAAGATGCTATCGGTGAAGAAAGAAGGCAGGTCCAAATCTGAGCTCAGAGAGCTCGCCACTCAAATGTTCCTCAATTTTGTCACTCTCCGCCAGGTTCCTCCTCCTCCTCCTTCTCTCTCTCTCTCTCACTCACACACACACACACACACAAAATATTATGTATAGATTTGAGCATATTTTTAGTTTATGGCTTTCTCTCTCGGCTAGGGCTTGGTATGTGTGTTTACAAGTGTGTAATGATTTGTGGTTGAAATTAGTGCTATTTGGATGCTTTTCGAATGAGTTTTTGAACTAATTGCAAAAATTGGGCCGCGCTGACTTCTATGTGCTTATGCTTATATGCTATTTGTATTCTTCATCTAATCGTGCTAGTAGGTTTTCATTAGTTGCTTTATTAGGAACTCTAGTGTATAACCATGTTCAGTGTATTAGGTCTGTTAGCCTTTGGTTGTATTTGTAGTTAGTTTCAATGTATTAATGTTCAAGTAGTGTGCATATGTGTGTAATTCAATCCAAGCTCAGATATCGGCGAAGGCATAGCTGTAGATTTAAGAGCATACTGATTTTCAGTACTGCTTTTTCTTCCGAGAGAGTGGATTAACTAAGAGATTTTTTTTTTGAAGATGACCAAAATGGAACTTGACTTGTGTCATTTAGTTCCTCTTAACGCTATCTTATGTTGCTTATCATACACTTTTGCAGGCTAATCGTTCTATCTTGCTTGAAGAAGATCGTGTAAAAGCAGAAACGGAGTGTGCAAAAACACCCACTGATTTTACGACCCTGCAGCTCCACAACTTGATGTATGAGAAAAGTTACTATGTGAAAGCAATAAAGGCTTGCAAAGACTTCAAATCTAAATATCCTGAGATTGAACTTGTACCCGAGGAAGATTTCTTAAGAGATGCACCAGAAGAAATCAAAAACTCTGAGATGTCACATGATAATACACACAATCTGATGCTTAAGAGGCTCAACTATGAGCTGTTCCAGGTAAGTGTAATCAGTATATGTACTTAAAATCCCCGGATATTTAATTCTGCTTCCCTGCCTCCTTCTTCCCTGGTTGCTGTTGATGGTGTATTACTAGTCTCCCAACTACACCCAAAAAAAAAAAATAGGAGTTACCAAGGTCTTGTGAAATTCTGTGGAATTTTGTCCATTACATTACATTGTTCGTCTTTGTGTCCTGCTCTGGTGAATAATTGATCCTGAAGACAGTGTTCACCTGGATGTTCCCTTTGCTGTGTGTTTGGGTGTGTGCTCATGTTGATGTATACATGTAACATAATCCTTGTTTTTTCATGAGGATACCTGAGGAGTAAAACATAAAGATGTCGGCAGACACTATGGACTTCTGAAATCAAGTTTTAAAAATTTATTGTAAAAGCACCTTCAGAGATTTTATGATTGTTCTCTCAAGGTGTCTTAGTGTTTTACTTCCTAAAATTGGCCCTGCTTTCGATTTCTTCATCTTCGGAGGTCCAACTCTAGAGGAGCCTGATGCTGTCTTAGCAGACGTAATGCAGTTTACCTGCATGCACAACCTATAACGAGTCTATAATTGATTTATAGTAAAATATGGTGTTGTTTTTGTTGTTACTTGATGGAGAAGTAATTATATATGTCCTGTGTCAGCGCAAAGAACTATGTAAACTTCGTGAGAAACTGGAACAACAAAAGAAAACCCTCCAGGAGAGTATCTCTAACAGGAAGAAGTTCTTATCAAGTCTCCCTTCACACCTCAAGGCTCTCAAGAAAGCATCCTTGCCTGCTCAGCACCAACTAGGGATTCTGCACACAAAGAAACTAAAGCAGCAGCATTCAGCAGAGTTGCTTCCACCTCCTCTCTATGTAATTTACTCACAGTTGTTGGCCCAGAAGGAAGCTTTTGGAGAGAATATTGATCTGGAGATTGTAGGAAGTATAAAGGATGCTCAAGCTTATGCGCGGCAGCTAGCAAACAAAGATACTGGTACCTGATTGGACCTCATTCTTTATGACTTTTCCCTTTAGAATGGCTGGTTTATTTTTATTTTTTATTTTTTAGATACTGTTACGTTTGGCTGATTTGTTGAGTTTTCTTCAAGTATGGTGTTGGCTATTGTGTTCTTTCATCGAAGCACTCGGTGAGTTTGATTAGCCTGAATACTGCTTAGACACTCCAGGAATAGCTAGAAACCAAACCAAACTAATGCCCAGTTATGTTTAAAGAATTCTGAAAATTCATGTATGGTTAAATTAAATGATTTTAAGATATCAAAAGAATGAGGTTGGCTGCTTGTGGGAATGTTAATGGAACCCGACTTTATACATTCTGATTGGCTGCCTGGTCCAGCTGTGGTTTTTCCATCTTGACAATCAAGGGCATCGAACATATTCTGAGAAGCAAAGACCCTTCTAACAGGTGCCATTTCTATCTCAGACACTTGTCAAACACCAATACTTCTTGGACTCTCTTGGACATATTTCCAATCCTCTTTTGGTTACATTGATAGTTCAAAACATAAATGTTAAATGTTGAACTCATGTCCGGCATTCATTTTGCTAACATTTCCAACCCTTCATATCCAACTTTTAGGAACCTTGCTAACATGTGGTTAAATAACACTAGAAAGTTGACGTCCAATTGTCTCATACCACAGATAAAAGTGTATTATTCTTAATATTATATATTCTAAAATTTTAATTGGACAAAGAATAAAGGACAATCAGATTATATTAGAGAAGGGAACATTGTAGGTATGTATGTATGAGTTGGATTATTGTGTTGATGTGATTTTACTATGCTTTTTCAGTGAAAAGTGGGTGGTCATTTACTGGTATTCTGTATATATATATCCATACATGCACGTCTTATATGCTACATTATTCGGTTATAAAAATAATTATTTGTAGCTTGTCCTAACCATGTTGGTGTCAATGTTTCGTGTCATGTCTGTGCTTCCAGAGTACATCTGTTGGACATGGCTTTCAGCTTGATTAAGTGTGGATTAGTTTTGCTTTGATTTGATGGCCCCTGACATAGGGGCTTGTAATCTTTTATGAGACGAGTGGTTTTTTTTTTTTTGGGGGGGCCCAATCCTGAACTGCATTTTTGCTCTCAATCCCTCCTACCTTCCCTGGGGGGAACTGTGCAGCAGGGAAAAACTGTTGTTTCTTAGTGTTCATGCTATCAATTTAAAAAATTTTGACTTGTCAAAAGTGGTTCAGGTATATCTACCAACTCAGAGAATTCCAAATTTGAGGATGATGTTCCTGACGAGGAAGATGATGGCCAAAGAAGGAGAAAGCGGCCAAAGAAGGTTCCAGGCAAGGAGACTCTTGACCATGAAGGAATATATCAGGCTCATCCCCTTAAAATCATGCTTCATATACACGATGACGATGTTTCTGACTCCAAGCATGCGAAACTTATCACACTAAAGTTTGAATACTTGGGAAAGTTGGCTGTTGTATGCGTTGGGGTTGAAGGGTCCCAAGAAGGTCCCAGAAATAACATTTTATGCAACTTATTTCCTGATGACACTGGCCTTGAGCTTCCTCATCAGGTTCATTCTATAGTTTCAATAACTTATCAGTGATTTGTATCATGCTCTGGTTTTCATTTCTGTTTCCTTACTATGGTGGTTTTTCGCGAATGTTTTGCAGTCAGCCAAGCTCTGCATTGGTGTTGCTCTTGCATTTGATGAAAGGAGAACTTCACGTCCATATAAATGGGCCCAGCATTTGGCAGGAATTGATTTTCTGCCAGAGGTGTCACCCTTGTTTTCAGGGTTAGAAACATCAGACAGTGAAACGGCTAGACATGCAGCAGTTGTATCAGGTCTGTCGTTGTATCGTCAGCAGAGTCGGGTGCAGACAGTTGTGCAAAGGATCCGCACTCGGAGAAAGTCTCACCTGGCGCTTGCGTGAGTCACTGCACTGTATGTTTGGAGTCATGGATGCTTAGGAACGGATAGCTAATATGAGGCAGATATCTGAATGTGGTTAAAATCAGAATGTTAGCCTCTACAGTTTTGTTTCCATTGGCTTGAACCTCTATCAAAGTTTATAAATTAGATGGTTCTTTTTGTGTTACCATTGGAACTCAAGGATTCTATGTGTTCATTCTCATCTGTGAGAATTTCTTTATTTGTTGCTAATTTATTTTAGTTTGGGCCATTTATTTATCAAATGAGAAAATCTCTTATATTGTTTTCTCATAATTAATTCTTTTGAGTTCTCTGGTAGTGTTTTGCATGTCTGCATTGTAAGGTGTGCATGTTGTAAACTTGGAAATCTTTGGTTGATATACAGGGAGCAGCTTGATTTGCTAACAAAGCTTAGATGGCCGGCTCTGACCTGTGAAAGTGTTCCGTGGGCCTCACATACCCCTCTGTGCAGTTTGCATAGCTGGTTACCCATGGGATCTGCACCTAGTCAGGCTTTATATTTGCCAGTTACTGATGTGGAACAAGTTCAGGGTCCTGCAGATATCGATGTGGATGGAGTATCTGGTACTTCAAAGGAAGTGATAGAGAATGCCAGGGAAGATGGGGAACTTCCAACTTTAATTCCGGTTGCACCTGTTGTGAAGGATGTTAAACTCACTCCCTCAGAAGTCGTAAATGATGTGAAACTCATGCCCTCAAAAGGATATGATCTTGAGCATTCAAGGCGGTTGGCTTTGATTTCGAAGAGTATTGTATCTCCAATTAACAGGGGGAAATCATTAAGTTTCAAGAAACATGATGAGGATGCGGATCTTTTGCTCGATTCGGAAAGTGACGTGGATGAGCATGCACAAATCAACCCGGAGACTGAGAATGCAGACAACAGTGGAGGCTCTGAGATAGGCAAAAGGTCATGGGCAAACTGTGGGGTCCAGGAATACTGTCTTGTACTAACTAGAAAATTGGATAGTGATGAAAGGATCATGCATTTGGAAGCCAAGGTAGTCAAATGTGCTTTGTTCTCATCTGTATGTCAAGTTTTCTTTCATGTTTGTTCATTGTTCAGTTGATGCTTATTAATACTTATGGCAGATTAAGATCAGCGTGGAGTATCCTCTTAGGCCGCCTCTTTTTGCACTGAGTCTTAACACTGCATCACATGGAGAAAATAATTCTGAAACTGATGGTTCCAAGTGGTACAACGAACTTCGCGCCATGGAGGCAGAGGTAAGCAATTAAGAACTTTTTGGTATTGGAATAGCTATTGTCAGTAAAATCAATATACTTCTACTGGCAATGGATTTGTTAGGGATCAAGATGTAGGAGACTTTATGTTTCTGTATGTTAAACATATTGTGCCCCGCGTAGATTACCCCCGCGTATCCAGGGATTATTTGGAAAAGTTTTTGGTGAAGCACTTTTAATCTTAGGAGTTGTGAGACAGTTCATTTGAGTTCAGTTCGCAGAATCTACTGGAAGAAAAGCTCCATTTTATTGGACCACCTTACCAGTAAGGGGCTTTTCTTATGAAAGAAAAAGAACTCCCCTTGACTTGAGGGCAAACGTGTTTCACAGGACCCGCCTAAAGAGATTCGGTGTTAAAACAACTATGTAACTTACCGCTAGTCAGTAATGTGGGTTGGCTTGGATTATTTAGTGTTGCATGCCTAGGAGGGCAGCGTGTTTTGGGATGACATTTTAATAATTTTTAAGTTGTTTTTATTGTTTCAATAAACCCATTCATGTTCTATTTTTATACCTTTATATGCTAGAAACTGAAGTTGCTATTCTGTGTTTCACAGGTCAATGTTCACATAACAAAAATGATACCTTGGGATCAAGAAAACTTCATCTTAGGTCATCAGGTGTGTTGCCTAGCCATGCTGTTTGACTTCTACATGGATGAAGCAGCCTCATCTTCGGAGAAAAGAAAGAGTACTTCTGTGGTCGATGTTGGTTTGTGCAAACCTATTAGTGGTAGACTCATGGCCCGGTCCTTTAGAGGTAGAGATCGTCGGAAAATGATCTCCTGGAAAGATAATGGTTGCACCGCTGGCTATCCTTACTAGAAATATTTTCTGGGGGCTAAAAATGTGTGATTGCACTTTTGAGCCGCTACTACATTCTTGCCATTGCTTGGCCAGATATTATCGAGATTTTTACAAGGTAATTTCATAGAGGATAAAGTAAAATTCTCTGGGCATAGTTACGAAGCTTTTCCTCTACTAATTTAGTGGGTGATCCAGTCTGGTGTGCAAGATTCGGGCGGTGATGTCTTTTCTGGAAAGGGTTGAGACGGCAATGAGTACCACAAATGACGGGACGCTTGAAGTTCATGTTTATCGGTGAGAGGCATAAACCCTAAATTTAATTTTTTTAAAGTTAATCCCGAATATCGAAAAGTTGAACATCCTCTTTATTTGCAAATCTCGTAGTCAAGTATTGTTGTTGTTTGCTCTCGTTGTTGGTTTGGGCGGGATGGTGTGTAATGAGCTGGAAAGTGTTAACTGGGTCTATACCTATTTCAGGACATGGATATTGCGCTGACTGAGGATTGGTACGGTGCTTTCTTTTTTCTTAGAATGAGATACTTGGGAAGTTTTTTTAGTTAATTATTCCGTTTTGTTTTGTTGTGTTATTTTCACGAGCGTATAGCGCATGAAAATAAAATAAGCGTATAGCATATGACTAAAATGAGTGGCGAAGCGAAGACGGACTCATATAGTTGATCTAAAATGATTTGATTTAGTTTGATTTGTTGTGTTATTTTCATGATCAATAGTCACGAAAGACTTGATGCAAGATCTATGGGTAAGAATTTGGTTTGCTTTGTTGTGTTATTTTCATGATCAATAGTCATGAATGAGTCAATGCAAGATCTATGGGTAAGAATTGTTTTTGATGTGGTACAAAAAATTTATTTTTCGTTTCCATCTTTGTCCACCCAAGCAACAGCCATAGTTCGTCAAAATCGTGTCTTTCTGCTGTTGGATTGTGCTAAAATTGAAAATCATGCATGAATAACATCTAACCCTGGCATATTTTTGCTTTTCTTTATTTACATCAGCATGATGTTTGTTCGCGAGTGAAGCAGAGTTGAGAGAAAAACTGGAATAACTAATCTACGGCACAATAAAATTCTCCATCTTTTTTGATCTACAGAAAACATGTCTCTCTCTCTATATCTCTCTCTCTCACATATACATGTACAGCCATCGATAACCATATTAAGTAATTTTCAACCAACAATGTACAAGACCCTTCACCATGGTCCGGTCTGTGTCCGTCTCAAGCACCGTCTTTTAACTCCCTGCTGCAGGTTCATCATCCTCAGGGCCTGTAATCACCAAATGCAACATCCAATAATCAGTTTCAAAACATAATCCCATCTATTTGCTCATCAATCTTTCATAATCCACAACTCCAACCTAAAATAATGAATCATAAGTTACAAGGTAAAGAACTTGGAACTGAATTGAGATTCAGGCCTAATATGTAGCAATGACTAATGTGAATCTGTTCTGATATTTGACAATTAGATCAGAAAAAAAAAAAAAAAAAAAATTCGGACGCCAAGTTCTATGAACATAAACCTGCTCAATCTCCAATGGTGGTCCTAAAATCACAGAATACAGATAACAAAACACTGAAATTTCCCAACTTTTCACTGGGGAAAAATTAGCCTCTTTAGTCTTTCTAAGTAGAGAAAAGAAAAACGTACATTAGATGATGGTATTTGTAGTTGAGCATGTGTTTGGTCCTAGGAAAGAATATGAGGAAAAAACTTAAGAAGGGAAGAAGAAGAAAAGAGAATTAAGATAATATTCCTTTTGATTTAAGTTTTGGAAAGATATTATAAAGAATGGAAAACTAATTTCCATGAGTGGGAGTCGAAAGCAATAATGAAGAAGAATATTAAAACATTCGGTTTATTTTTTTTAAGAGCAATGGACTTATTCACAGCTGATTAGAAAGAAATAAAGATGGTGAACTTTGAATTCTTCAGTAATAAAAACAAATAAATAAATTATAATACCTGGTTCTTCTGCATGTCCATAATTTTTGCCTGGAACAATAACAGAACACATCAACGATGGCTTGCAACAGCCAAAAGTAGCATGTTTTATACCAATCAAAGGCAGACACCCGAAATATGCAGAAATCATATAAAAAGCATACCTGTTTCTTCTGCAATTCTTGGTTTTTCTCTTTCAGTTTTGCAACTTCTGCTTCTAATTCCGTTGTATAGGCCTGGAAAAAATGAAAAAAAGAAGTAAACTGCTAAATTAGCAAATGCTTAAACATGAAAGCCTGGACTACATGTCTAAAATAAAATATGATTGTTTCTAGGTCCCCTGTATTATACAACACTTCTATTGTTAAAGGTTGAAGCTTATTCAATGGTCATCCTAATTTTCAGATGGTAAAATTGAAATGATTATGTGCCTTGCAGCATACATACCATTACCTTACCCTGTTGTAACGGTATGTATAAGATTGCATCAATATTGTCAACAAGATACATAACTTCTCATAATATTACCACTTGTCATATAAGATTGCATCACAATACCATTCTGCCGAACAAGAAGTCCAATCTATGATGAAGCTTTGGGATGCAACATGTCCATTGAGAATAAATGCATTAATTTCATTGCTTTTCTTCGCATGTCATATGACGTAGTTTCTTTATCTTTATAAAATCAAACGTATGAAGCAACCATGATATGGAGGAGTCAAAAAACAACGATCTCTGCTACAAGTCATACTCCTAAATGGCAGTTTTGTTTTCTATTTTGTATTGAAGGTGCATCAATGCACGAGATTTGTGATTAATGACATTTAGATAACCAGACTATAGTGGTACTAATATAACAAAGATAAAGTAAAACCCATTAAAAGCATAAACTACAAAATCAGGGCATTACATATTTCAGTAATGGTTTATTTGACTATATGCTCGACAATTTTTTCTGTATACAAGTATTTACCTTATGTAACATGTAAAGGTGCTCGGCAACATAATCCCTGTTTGCTTATTTATTGCATATTAAGCACTATTTCAGTCAAATTTAAGTCTTTCACTAAAAGAAGGATTCAGTTGAAACAGATGAATATATACTCAGCCACACGACTCCCTAATAAAAGCTTCGGAAGACTGGTTTGAAAAGATATATATCAGTGCTGGATGATGTCATTGAACTAGATATTAGGATGAGATCACAGGGTCAAACCACAACTTTGGAGAGGGTACAAGACCTTCAGGACTCTAGGTCCTAGCTTCCACATATCTGTGAAAGGTTTCATGGTATGAATTGTAAAGTAGCCAGATGTTTGACATACTTTTTATTTTATTGATAATCATATAAAGCAGAGGAGATTTTAGCATTTACATCAACCTCAAACTTCCTTCTTGCATGGTCCTCCCATGCGGTGACTCTTCAAAAGGTTTTCATGGTAGTGACTTGTTATTTTATAGACGTTGACTTTTGATGTCAGCTCTTCCGCATGTCTGTCACGGGAAATACCCCTCTGCCAGGTCTTTGACTGTGTCAATTGGTACATTGGTTAAACTGTGATACAAAAGAAAGCTGTTTGACTTCCATGGGTCATACATATGTTTCCGAAGTAGACTGTGAACTGCTTGTTCCTCTAGTTATTCTATGTGAGCTAAAGCTAATGTGTATCAACATCTTCCGAAATTTGCTTTTTTAATTTTTGGTTGATGATGCGTAAAACGAGAAAGACTGAACTCCTAACCGGTAAGCTACATCAGCATTAGCATAACCTTTACACTAGGACTTTCAGCTTACACATCAGAAAGTTTCACAGGGACATAGGAACCGCTTGGCTGCACACCTCATACCAATTCTATAGCCTTCGACATAATGGAGACTCGGATATTCCCATACCTACAACTTACCCCTCAATAAGAATTGTTTCAATCGGCTAAGTGCATTTACGATTCCCCACCCCCCCTTCCCCCCCCAAAAAAAACAACACTTTCCACACTATTATGATACGTTCAAAAATGCCTAAGCACCACTCAGAAGGTCAACACTTTGTGGTATTACACTACACCCCTCCCCTTCAAAAAAAAAACCCCAAAACCAAACACCCAAATTGGGGTCATCACTTAGCGCCTCCTTCTCCCTGAATCTCTTCCCTAGAGTCTAATGGTATCAGGGGTATTATGCTTCAACAGGCATCGTCAAAAAAGCAGCAACCATCAAAAGTAAAAACAAAAAAGGGCAGTGTCTCTAATTTGTTTAATGGTTCCAACCAGGATGATGGTTTTGATCCTTCAAATGCAATGTCAAGTGCAACGAAGCAACTGATTTGCATTTTCCATTCAAATGCAAACTAGTAAGAAAAACTGACAGGATAGATTCCAAATTTATAAGACTGAAAATAGAGCAGTAGGGTTTATAATATTGTCAGCAGCACAGAGGGAGTTCACATTTATCAAATCATCACAAAAGAATTGCTTACCAAATCCCACCAGCACAAATTGGAAAAATTATTCTGCCAGATTTGGAAGAATCTAACATAGGAAACATACTTGTCCTTAAAATTCAGGACAAGACTGTATAGTGCACTTGCCATGAATAACATAGTAATTGAAATTTTTTATAGATGATTTTATGACTACATTCTTAACGACAGTTCCATAGTACTCAAATTCTGGAGAATTTGAGAAATTGAATATGACCTGGTCCAGAAGTGATCATACAAATGAGGCTAGTACTCTATACATTCATAAACAAGCCATTGCAAAAATATGAAGGTGGATGGTTGCATGATAAATATTTCAAGACTAACCTGCTTACGGGCCCGAGACCTTGCAGCTGACTCTCTATTCTTTATCATTCTCTTCTGCCTTCTCTCAACAACTTTCTCCACAGCGCTGCTTTTCCTTCCCCGTAAACCTCCATTAAACATGTAAGGAACTGGCAACACAGAAGCTGTATGTCCATTACTCTTTCCAAGCCCGGTGGATGAAACTGTTGGGGATCCAGTTGCAACCGTGACACCCCCATCTCCTAAACCAACCATTCCCATCCCACCAGCCTGTAGTGCACCACCTTGAACCAAATTACCATTTATCGTTGGATCCACCATTCCAACAGTCCCACCCCTAATTCCTGGACTACCCAACTGACAACTGCTGGGTATAGGCATGGGAGCACCATAAGTCATAATAGGTTGCTTGGGAAAAATGGGCTGCTGTTGCTGTTGCTGCGGCTGTGATGTCAGCAGTGGTTGCTGTGTAGATCTAACTCCATTTATGTTCAATGGTAGATTAGCAGCAGATTGAATAGCAATTTGATTACTGCTCTCAGGCATTCTATTACCCAACAACCCAATACCCCTACCCGTCTGTTGAAAACCAATTCCTAAACCAGGAGGATTGTTCAGGGATCGTGACCAATCCCCAAATAATCCATTATTATCAGGTTTTCCAGCTAATTGGGCTTCTTCCATTACAACCCCAGCTCTTAACAAGAATTCCTCAAGTGTAATCTCCCCCAAAGTCTGCTGTCTCTGCGGCAAATTAGATCCCCCAACACCACTGCCATTCTTCTCACCACCATACTCTTTCGATATATCCCTCCAAACATCATCAACAGTCTTCAGACTCAACGTCCTCGGCAGCGTTAAAGACCCTTGTCTCTGCAAATGGCCACCAGAAATACCAACCCCTTCTATTCCACCAAAGCTAGATCCCATATTCTGAGTTTCCTCAGCAGTCCATATATTCTTCAACAATTCATCCATGTTCATAGACCCAAAATCTTTTGACATCCCTCCCATGGTGCTCTGAAGCTCATCAAAAGTCAGTGAATAGATTGATGGTTGTCGCACCAATGGATAATACCCCGGAAGCCTTCCACCACCGGCGGCCCCCTCCCCCGGCAGCTCATTTCCGAAGGGCTTGAAGTTCATATTAGTACGCACTATGTAGAATCCAATTGCAAACCCGTTAAAAAAGCAAATCCAAGCTCAGTGTCTTATACGATCATCAAAATTACAGTAGGATCAAAACCAAAATCTCTGATTTCTATCGCTCGATCTCTCCATACACGCATATACTCATGTATATACATATATGCAAATATAGTGCCTCAGAGTGATATAAAATCAGAATGAACCCAAAAATTTATAAAAATCAAAAGTCTGAACTAAAAAAGGAAAAAAAAAAATACTCAAATTCTACTTTCTGGAAAAGAATACCTAAATCCACAGTAAAATCAGTAATTATATACACAATTGTTATCTTCAACCAAATTCGAATTTCAGAACGTAAACACCATGTGTATATGAACAGATACGAACGCACATAGATTGGAGTCTATGACTACAATGTCAAACCTTATCCCTAATAGCTAATTTCAACCACCAATACTGAAAAATCCACAGCAAAAATTTCAACTCAAAGAAAGAAAAAAAAAAACAAAATAACCGATAGAATCGCTTCAAAATACAAGGTCAAAGTATTGTAAAACCTTCAAACAAAAACCAAATATATCAGATCAGACAATAGCAGAAAACAAAGATGAATTAATGGCGGAGTAATTGCAGAAATACAGAAATCTAAAGAGCCATTAATGCGGCGATATGAACAAGGAAAAGGAGGGAGATGTAGAGAGAGAAACACGGTGTTTCTCACACTAGATTGTTGGGGCGTTCTCCTTCTTTTTTGGGGGTGACTTTTAAACGACGGAAGTGGTGGGAGCGAAGAATGAATTTAATAAGTGTTAGTATATATATATATATATATATAAAATAATGGGATGTGGGCCCAGTTGGGCAGAACGTGGCCCAATCACAATGGGGTAGGAAGGGTTGATGCGGTACTGTTGGCCAATGATGATTGGATATGTGGGAAAATCTTGGCCGTCCACGTATGGAGAAAATGGACGGGTGAAAAACGTGGGTTGCTTGTCCGGTAGTGGAATTAGGACACTTACACTACAGTGACGTGGCATAAGAAGCACGATTGGAGTGTAGCTCGCTTTTCAACCACGTGGTGTCTTTTTTTTTTTTTCTCAACACGGTGTTGACGTTAATTTATAAACATTTTAATTATTTTTTTTAATTTATTTATATTAAAATTAAGATATTTATAAAGTGACTGATCACAAAGAATTACAAAAATTCAAAGTTAAAGATGTCTAAATTTATAACTCGTCCTTATTATGACTTAAACTATTCATTGAGTTAATAGATTCGATTGATTTTTTTAATATTTAATTCAAATTTAATTTATTATTTACTATACTTTGTCTTTGTAATGCATAATTAAAATTTATATTGAAAACACCTCATCTGAAAGTTCAATTTTTCAGAATTAAATTTAATAAATTATGTTTTAATTCTAACTCAATTTTATTAAATATATCTTTATGGCGTCTTATATTATATGGCGAATTATAGTTTGTACCCTTAAAGATTTCAAGATTCTCACTTTGCACTCTTAAATATTAAATTTTTTATATTGCACTGTTAATGTATCGAAAGTGTTGTAATGTAATCTTTATGTTAGTTTTTTCATAGTGTCAATGAGTTAACTTTTAACAAAAAAAAAAAAAATAACAGAAGTTAGTAAAAAAGTCATATTGCAACACTTTTGATACATTAAAAGTATTATGTAAAAAAATTAATCTTTAAGAATATAAAATAAAAATCTTGAAAACTTTCAGGGTTAAAAATGCAAAAAACCCTATATTATGTATGTATACTCTAGGTCAAATCACAGTTTTATCAAAATCAGTGCACCAAAATTTTAATTTATAAAATATAGTATTTAATACATTCAAATTCGAATTCACATAATTATCAAAACTATAATTTTACATCTCACGAATAAGTCCAATTGGTATTTGATTCAAAATCCGATCAATTGATATACTAACTTCGCCTTCAGTGGAGGTGGGTTTTTTTGTTTGGCGTTGGCGGTGGCGGGGCGGGGAGCGAGTGTTGGGTTGTTTTCACTCTGATTATAAAAATTTAGATTTATAACACAAGATTTATTAAAAATAAAGTTACAAAAAACTCGTTAATCTAACTATCCACATTATGCAAAATATGAAATATATACCGAAAGTTGTAGGGGTGTTGACATATGAGGAAGTGAGACGTTGATGAAATCTCCATTCTTTGTCCCATTAGCATACATAAACGGGACAAAAAGAAAAAAAGGTGCAGTGTTGGAGGCTGTTTGGTAAAGCTTTGTCAATGATCATGTTCATACATGAAGAGAGAAGATAGATATTGTTTCAAAGCATAGCCGACATGAAGATATTATAGAAAATCTCGTTCTGGGGCTTATCTTCTTCACCTACCAAGAGAGAGAGAAAGACACAGAGAGAGACAGTGGTTTACATCATAATCTCACCTTAAGGATTACTAAAGGACGAAGATCTAGAGTCCACCTTTGGACCATCGACACCACGAACTCTTACCTGTCCTTTTCTAAGTTTCTCTAACCCATTTTAAGCACCACCATTGATGGCAATAGTAGCGGTGCACATCTCACTTGTTAGCCACTATTTTTTTTTTTCTAAGCAGGTAGACTTTTTTTTTTGGTTTTCACCCTTCTCTAATTTAGTAAAAAAATAGATTATTTACGTCGGAATTAAGATATTTATGAGAAATAAAACTTTCATGACCTGAACCTAAGAAGTTATCAAAATTCAAATTTAAGAGTTCTGAATTTATAATTCGTTCTTATTATTACTTAAGCTATCATTGGAATAACTAAAAGAAGATTCTCCAAATCCATCAATGAATCGGAAAAGTTGTCTTGTCTTGTAGATTATCATATGTTGTTCTAAGTTAACATCATCATGTTATTTGAAGTGTCAATCAACTCTCTTATAATTTATCTATTCATTTCAAATAAACTTTTTGTTGTGAGACCAAAAAATAAACAACGAGATACACTTCTCTTCTTCTAGTATTAAGTTTGCCCTAAAACAAAATATCCGGAAATATGTTTCCTATCTTCCATCCTTCCTCCTCTTCCCATTACTCTCTCATAGAGACACATATACACACCCATACACGCGCACACACACAAAACCCTAGTCACCATTACTGTCTAAACTTTAAAGCCCTGCCTCCGTCTATGCAAAACCACCATTCACATCACATAACACATATTCAACTGAATCATGCAGGCTTGCAGAGAGACACACACCCAGTTTACATTTCGATCCATGAAGTTGACATTTCAACAGAATAAACATATTTTACTTGCAGGGGTAAAACTACGTACATCTAACTATCTTCAGACACCGCAATGACAAAAACCTCATTACTCGGTATGCCCTTTTAACTACATGATGACTATGTGATTATCAAGTGAGACGGTCATTATAGCACAGTAAACACGAGATGTGTAAAAAATATGAAGTCGAGTCCAATTCCATACTCTATATATGAAGGCAATAAATGTCTTCACGCATTCCACTTAAAGAAAACCGAGAGATCATTGGTGTCCAAATTCTTCAGAGACTAGTAGTGTGCTTAACTGGCCGGGCTTGCCTGCACACAGGCGTAGCATAATCAGGGCAGTATAATAACAAAGCTAATTGAAACTAGAGATGTCATTACAATTCGATTTAGTGAAGCTAAACAAAATGGCATCGCTTAGAATCAATCATAAAATATTAATATCTTAGTCTTAACCACAGACTCCATATATAATGGGTGGTGGTAAGTGGCGCGGACAAGCATTAGGAAGCCTTTCAACTACTTATGTCACACTACTATCAGTAAAAAGTTTTGGACTTTTGGAAGTTATATCCAGACTAGTCCACTGGACTGCCAACTCGTTACTTCCATCGTCCTCTATACCGGACTCGAATCCACAAGATATCGGCTAGTATTAAGCTTGAAATCCCAATTTTTTAACATTAAATGCGAACTCAGTCACATAACAAGCAAAGATAAGAACAATCGATGGTCTAGATTAAAAGATAAGTTTGTCGTTAGTAGTGTTGACTGCCTACATTCGGATTAGAAAAGGTCAATAGTAGGTAACCTTACCCCTATGCTGGAGAGATTGATTACTGTACTTGACCTGCGATGATTTACTTGAACGAATGAACACTAATTACCACTCTAAGACCAACTCACCGTTGGTTGTCCTAGTAAACTGCACAACCTAAACATAAAAGGCCGGAACATCTTTTCTCCACTATGCATCAGGCCCAAGTCAGCTTGTGCAACTAGTGCAATAGAAGTTGAGAAAATCATAATCTAACCTGGGATGGAAGTTGGCAACCAGTGCAACTACATACATTTGGTCCCAGTCATCCTGTACCCAAAACAAAGACACGCCTACACACTGAGGGGGGAGAAAAGGGAAAGTTTGTACTCGGAATCTATTAACTGCACCCTAATTTCAGTGAAACCATGTGCATTTCAAGCAATCATATAACACTTGAATATTAGAAATTACAGTAAATTCTCTCAATTTAACAATACAACAATTTTCAAACTTTGTCTTAGGTCTTGTACAGTGAGGTTTCAGCACTAATAAATAACATGTGAAAAAAATTTTCTTGGAGTAACATACTAGGTGGGACAACTTGAAGATATTACCTTCAGTTGCTACCCCTACGCCGCCGGAAATGCCTGAGAATAAAGCTATCGGCATACAGTGGATAATTTTTCCTAATTAAACCCTTTATGCATTTCCAATAAGAAAAGTCAACCAGCTCTCCATCTTTTCGAACTATGAACAAACATCGTGAGCTTTCAAAATCAGGATGGTACCCAACCTGCCCATCAGGAACAAGAAACTTTCAACATTCAGCAATTTAATCAAAGTGATGATCAAGAACACAAAAAAATAATTAAAGAATACGGATTTTGTCCAACTTAAGAGTGTATCTGATGCAGAAAATCATTTTATGGCTTGTAATAAAAACCCACTTTGCAGTTAAATACAGTGTTTCTATTAACACCCCAGTCCGACTCCTTTTCTGGCCACGAAAAGCCAATGTGCTCATATGGATTCACATTCTAGAGACATTATTTGTCTTGAACCCAAAAAATCTGAAAACAAACATAACGCTAGCTGCGTAACCAGTAGTCTTCGCCAATCGCCATGCTTCAGAACTGGGAGACTGAGCTCTTTTACCACAATAGAATGGTGCTATACCCTAAGCATCATCGTACTGTGTGTGCATTAATGCATGGCTATTTCTAAACAGAATTCACAAATTTTCTAACTCTTAACTGTTGAACAGATTGATCTGAGAGGGATTCCTACAAGCTCAATTTTTTCTTTGGCAACGTGGAAATAGCACCAAACAACAATACTTTATTTTATAAGCACAAAAAGGCAAACAACATGTAATTGCCCAACATCATTGTAGAATCAGGAAGTCAAAAAAGCCCAATATGCCAAACAACAATAATTGACCTTTATCAAACATCACCCATTATAAATCATATGACACTATTTAGTAGGTAAACCAAATGTCGCTGAATATACCAAACAACATTATAGATTAGTGAATATATCGTACTACAATAGTTTAAGCTCATGCTGCATAAATCCCAGGCCATGTGCCCGTGCAGTCATGCTTCATTTAAAAATTTGATCATTATTTGTGTCGCCCATATTTCATACCGGCTTTTAGAGCCCCTTTAAACACGGACAGACTTGGGATACTCTCTCAGGGGCGGGGAGGAACCAATTTATAAATAATCGTCCAAAGGAACTAGCTAAAAGAGGGCCAAATAATATGCAAACTGTTAATAGTTAAAGGTTGCCATCCAACTCCATCTTATGGAATACAAGAACAGATGAATAAACTGAAACATTTCCATTTTTATTTTTTTCTTTGTGGCCCTGGAAAAGCAAGAGGAAAGAACCATAGAAGTATGCATACATCATGCACATTGACTAAGAATACACACACGCATTTAAACTATCTAAATTTATAAAAACATATAATTTTCTCTGGGGAAGCATTAGGTACATATTTTGATCAGGCATGAATAAAACAAATAAATCAAATCAATTCCTGTCAATCTCAAGGAATTTAAGTAATTAGAAAGGTAAATTAGATCAAAGGCTGTTCTGTTGAGATTTAAATTTTTATCATACATCCTTAGAGAGTACAGAGTATACACCATACATATCAATAACATCATCTTAATCAGCAGCTGTTAGGGCGAAACGTAATTGAGGGAGAGAGAGAGGTACCGTGATGTAATCAACTCCGCACCCAATCTTCTTCTCACATTCTGGATGATATGGAAGCAACCTTTCCAGAATTGTTCTCTCGTGCTCAGGACTTAACCTCTCACCGCTTTCATACCTGCAAATCAAATCCCATTCGCAAATAATGACAATTAGCACAAGAAAACAACCAAACAATCGTCCTAAAACGGTAAAAAAACAATGAAATTGAGATCTTACTCGCCAGAATGAAGAACCATTCTCACAAAGCCAACAAGTGGTACAGTATCCTCCAAAATCTGGTCCTCCCAATCAACCCACCCACCTTCTTCCCTCCGCTTAATCTCCTCCTCCTTCTCCTCGTCGGAATCTTTCGCCGACTCGTCCAACGCCGGCGATATGACCGGCTTTTTCAGCAAGTCGGCGCGATAAGCATCTTGGTCACTAGTGCTCCCAATTCTACCAGTTTTTAGTGCACAAAAACGTAGGGGTGTGCGATAGGAAGGGAAAGAGAGAATTGAAGGAGAAGAAAAGTGGAGAGAGATAAGGTTTGTGTGAAGGTGAACGAGTGGGGAATTTGAAGTAGAAATTGAAGCCATTGATTGGCTAACTAGTTATATAGGGTTCCACTGCTGCTACTGCTAGCCCTCTGCTTCACGATTCTCCATTTTTCTCAGTGCCCAATTGCTAGGGTTCTGATAGTTTTTGGAGGAGTTAACGGTCAGAGCATCAGATAATCCTGGCTTTAGTACACTCGTATCAAATCAAAATCAAAATCAAAATCAAAAAATATTAAAAATATCAGACTTAATTTATTAATTTAATTCATTATAACATTTAAATTAACTGTGAATTCATCAAACATTAAAATTTGCTATGAATTTAATAATTTTAATAAAATCACAAGATCAATAAATTTGGTCAAATTTTAATTCTAAATAGTATTACTCAAGTTTTTAATCCAAATTAAGTGAGACTAATATTTATTCAAATTAGTAATGGTTATATTTCATTCTCTTTTAAAGATTTAAGGATCATATTCTCTCATAAGTTAAATTTAAATTTGTCCTTATTTAAAATTGAATTTACCTTTTTTTTTTAAATTTGAGTTGTTGCATTAAAATGCTTTGTATCGATCAAATTTTTTACTCGAATTTGAGTTAAAGTTAGAGATACTCTTAAGGGTGTCTACTGTGTCAGGTTAAGCAGGTTTGTATCGGATCTAATCGGGTTTGTGTAAAAAATCACTCAACCCGACTCGTTTAATTAAATGAGTGGAAATCTATAAATCGAACAAGATTTATTTATTAAACAAGTTGTCTGATATAATTCGTTTAACCCGTTTAATTATTATTATAATGTTCACCAGCCAAGTAAAAAGTTCTTATTTAATGGACAAGTAATGCAGGTATTTATAACACAATGTCTAGGCAATTCGGGTTGTCTCTCGGGACCCTGTGACACTCTTGCCAACCCACAACTGCATCGACCATAGCAATACTAGTGGCCACTAACTGCAAGTCATATGTCCCAACATTTAACTAGACAGATGTGATGTGTCCCCCAATATAACCTAGACTCGGCTCTTGATGAAGAGTGTGATAGTCGAGGTGAAAGAGGACTTCCAAGGTTAATGATCGCAACTGATCATCGCGAGACCATAATCTTGAAGAGGCCATATACGCGATACCCACATCATGTTCTTATTTGAGATTCTCTCTTCCTTTTCTAAACCCTTCCTCGAGACCTTTGTCAAGGTGCCCGATAAATAAAATTCACATAATTTTGGTACTTCAGCCATCAATTCACATATCTCACTATCTCATACGTTAATCTGAACCAATAACTCCAGTTACCTTAAGAGTCCCCTCAGATCTCAGTCAAGCACATCCTAATGGGTAGTGAGTTATACACTAAGAGACTTGCTCGAGCATACTAAACCTTTGAGACCTTACTCCAGGCCGAGGTTAACAATCATGCTCGTTCGTCTCCATTGCTCAGTTCTCCCTTGAGGATTCCTAGGTGGGGACCCATTTTCTTAGTCGAATGGGTTAGTCGAACAACGGTGTCTAGCAAATTGAGGATATCAATTCCATCGGTTGTGCAATCCTAGCCTTGTGTCTTGTTTCCGCAGTGGGGGAGGCAAGTCTCGCCAAAGTTGCCCCCAGACCTCTGCGGTGCCACTCTTGCCCGTTTTGTTACCAAAGTATATAATAAGACTATAAACTTAGTAATTACTGTAGCAAATTTAATGCAAGTATATTACTATATGCAATATAAATAAAACATAACGTATAAACTAAACACTAATACACTTACAATGACGCAGATCATCATTAAATAAGAAAATAAAAAATCTAAAAAATCAAAAAATAATCCAAACCTTGTGTAATCATAATTTTTGTAAGGCAAATTTACTCTCACACGGTGCTTAAAGTTGATTAGCCACTGTCTCCCTAGACAGAATGTATTTCATCATTGAAGATACAACACTTCAATATTTAAGACTCCAACGAATACAATTTTATGTTTTGCACTTGAATTGAACAAAAATAATAATGTAGCAATATGAAAAAAAAGAGAGAGAGAGAAGAAAAGATTGAATACAAAAATTCAAAATTTGAGATGACTGAAAATGGTAGTGAGACAATCTATATATAGACCCGTAGTGCCTATTTGGATTGCCTGAAGATAAGGGTGTCAATTTTCGACCCGACACATTAACACAACATGAATCGAACACGAAATTAATGAGTCAAACACGAAATTAAATGGATCAATAAGAAAAAATGGGTCAACATGTTTAAACCTAAAAAAATTCATGTTGGGGTCAGGTCAAAATTGGGTTGACTTGATTCGAACTCAAACCCGACCTAACTCATTTAACTGTTTATCAAAGTATATAAAAACAATAAAAAAAATTAACCCTAAACTCATTTCATTTCCTATTCACTTAAACAGGTTAAATAGGTTGTGCTATATGTGTTTACCCGAATACGACTTGTATATTAAACATGCTAAACAAGTTGGGTTAAGGTAACATGTTTAATGGCCAGATCAAGTTAGGGTTTAGACAACTCGACACGATTAATTAAATGTATCAGGTTAAGGTTTAAGGTTTTTTGACATAAACTCAAAATAGACCCAATACGATTAACTTGACACGACATGTTTTGACAGCTTACCTAAAGAGCTATGCTACAACTTTAGAATTGATCACCCAAGTGCAAGTTGTGCGAAGTAATAAATTTCTCGAGAGTCCGAGATCGAATCACATGGAATTGGAAAAACAAGAGACACAAAACAAATAAAAAATAAACTTGTAAGAATAATTTATTTAAGAGATTGTTGAGTTGAGAAAATATTGATTGGAGTAATTAAAACAATATAATAAAAATACTACAGCATCAGGTACTCCCTCTCAATTTCGTACAATAATGATTAAAGACTCAAATTTTAACTTGAGACAAAAATCAGATGTCGGTTGATTCATGTAGCAAATCAAGAAAGAAAAATTAAAGTTATAATCAAAAGATTATTTATGAACCTGAATAATCATTCAATTATATTATTTCAAGAAATAAAGATAATTACCTCAAGCATAGAATAACCAGTTATTTACTCGCAGAAAAATTCAAGCAATCGATGTACATGACACAACAACTCAATGATTTTTACAGAGCAAAAATTTTGCTATAAAATCAAAAGTTAAATTATCAAAATATCATAAATCATTAAACTCAGAATCAATAACATTACCGTACTTCATTGAGAGGTTCTCCCCTATCCCTAACTTAACCTTCTAGCCAGACATGATAAACTAAAACTAGAAAAGAAAAGATGGAAAAAGAATCATCTCCTAAATCCTAGATGAGAACCTTTATTTATACTAAAAATAAATCCTAAGTATAGGTAGAAGATATAAGGTTGGCTTGAAAGGAATTCATTTTCAAAGAGAAGTCTTGTAAGGTTAAATTCCGTGAATAAAATTTTTGGGGCGCGGGTATAAAATTTGTCCAGATTTTAAGCTTGAATTTTGCATATTTAGTGGCTAAATCACGAAATATTCGTGAAATACACTTTTGTAACCCTTTGAGTCTTCTTTTCAACCCCCAAAAATCAAGTAAATAGGATATCAGAGTCAAAAGTTATGACCCAAATACTAAAGATGTGTCAAATCCTTATTCTTCTAGGATACTTTCTTAATCTAACTTTAAATGGGTTTTCTTCCATCTTGGACTCTTAGAAAGATTAAATTGTTGTCATATCTTTAAGTCCTTCTATCTCAATATTGACTCTTTAATCCTTATCAAATGCGATTCTTTCTTTAGTGATTGATTTACTTGTCTTATCCATTATTACTTTAAATCAACCAATTTACCTGTAAAATAGACCAAACAACTAGAAAAAGTATCAAACTAAAAAATCAAGGAATTCAACATATTTAATCACAAATATTATGAAATTAATAAATCATTAAATATAATAAATTAGTAATTTTGATAGTTAATCACACCCCCCAACCTGAATATTACTAGTCCCTAGTAATACACAGATCCTAAAATCTAAAAACTAAAACTTAAAAACTAAATAATCTAATAAAATAAAATATAAATCCACTTTCGTTGGCCTCACGATTGTATTTAGCATATACAACAAGTCTTTAAACCCCTAAGTTCCCCCTAGTGGATGAGTATAGTCTCGTAAGGATTTTCAGAGATGATACCCACAAACATCATCCTGTGATCAAATATCTGAATAATAATTTTATAACACAAATTGCTACCACAATATAAAAATTCTTAGTTACAAACCTTTTTATAAGCACATGCAAAACAAAATATAGAATTCTACTCTATATAAATGTATGCACTTATCATGTTCCCATATAAACTCGTGTGCCATGTGAATTAACTATACCAAGTTAGCAATTTATCGGGTAATCACCTCTACAACTATCAACTATTCGTCTCAATGCCAAATCTCACTAGATAATTCACTCATAAAAGATTCTCTCAAATTATAGTGACTATTCACTCAAATATCACATGTGAAAAGAAAATATTTAAATCAAAACAAAATAATGCTCACATGTTCATTAAAAAAAATATAATCCAAAAGAAAGGATTTGACATAGTCTCATAAAATGAAATCAACACATAATATATAAATAATCACCGTTCTCTTTCTTATTCATACGAGTCATGTGTCCATCAATACACTCTTGAGATCAGATATGACTTTATTTAAGGTTGTAATGGGGCCTTGGGATTAAAGCTTTGAAACGGAAGATATTCAGGAATTCAAATGACTATCCCGAGAGAACATGCACATTACACAACCAATTTTCTTTCCATGACCTTTCACTCTTCACCCTTTAGAAGCACAATTTACAACACTTGCTCATATTTTTTTTTCTTTCACATGCTTGCTATTTTTCTCTTTTTTTTTTCAATCTGCTTTTTCACAGCTAGACATATTGTCTTTTTTTTTCTTTTCAACTTTTTTTTTTTAGCAAGACAACTGAATATATATACTTCTTTTTTTTAGCAAGACATCTAATGCAAGTATTCACAAGTATGCAATTTTTTTTTTTTATCATCTTTTCTCAACCAACATCTCCTAAATTACATAAACAATAGAAAGCTCAATCTCGAGATAACCAAGGGTAAATGATATTATTTTTTTTCATTGGCTTGATTATTATCTGTTGGATAATAAAAAATAAAATAA